AAGTTTTCTAATCATATGACGCATATTGTAAATAAAGTAAAGTACATTTATTTTTATCACACTTTTATTTCAGCGTAGAGGGGTGTAGAGCCCCATCCCTTGTCCGCCATCTGTGGCTTTGTCACTTGTTCGCTGCCCTACTGCTCTTAAGTTTGATAAGTATGTATCTGATTAAGATGACATGGTGGCTGCTGCATGATGACCTTTACATTTTTTTATTTCCTTCTTTCCTATTCATTCCTCTTATTTTCTTTTAGTTATCTTCTCTTGTTGTTTCCATATTCCATTTTCTGACAACTCAGTGCAGATGGTCAGTAAGGAAGATTTGACAGGCGACCACAACCATCAGCTGCCGCAGGAACGTACAGGGTGTAACTGTGAATACGCAGCAGTGTTGCGGGTTTGCCTACTCCTTACACCCGTAAGGGGCCATAGCCCCTTCGGCCATATTGAGTATGCAAACCCGCAATACTGCTGCGTATTCACAGTTAGACCCAGTACGCAAGGTACGGACCACCATTTGCTATCTCCCTCAGATGCTGTAGTACACTACCAATATGTAAACAACGCGTGAGTGAGTATGTGCGTGAGGAATTTGGGGAGGGGGGGGGGTGTCCCCGTCACCTATGTCCGTGAAGAGGTCTACATCATCGCCTGGCTCGTCGCCTGGTGTGCCTGTCCCGTGGGAGCGTTCGAGGGTCCGGATGTACGAGTTTGTGGTAGACCCGTGCGTGCGTGTATCCCAATCGCACCTGTCGCTTTTACGACTACCGTGACTGGCAGTGGTAAAACAAACAGACTGACCTCTGCACCAAGACCTTAAGAGTGGTCGGCCTCACTCAGTATCGCTCATACACAGAGCCGAAGGTCGACCCCGAGGCCAGAGGAGAGGCTTCAGTCGGTCTGTTGTTGACTTCGGCGGCCTTCACAGACGCTTTCCGTCTTTCTGCAAAGAAGCTCGCGGTCGCGGACGCCTGCCAGCAAGTATTGTAAGCAAGGACGCCAACATCTCTTAGAGCTCAGACATCTTGAGAGTGCGAGAGAAAAGCGACCGGAACGGGAATGGAGCTGGCACGTTAGTGGCCAAGTCCACACCAGCAGGACGACGGCCAGGGCCAGGACTCTGGCCGGGGATATTATGGTGATGTGCGTGAGATCATCGACCCTAGTTGACAGAAGGGCCGGGAGGGGCTTGGAGCCGCCCCAACGCCTTCCGGGAGACTGGCGCTAGCCCGGCGCCACAGGGGGCGTCAAGCAGTCATGCCTAGCCTGGGGCTAGCACGAGCAGCCAGGTCGCCGACGACGGACGGAGCGATGGGCGCCATGCCACTCCGCCGAGCGATCCGGGCAGAGGAGCGCGGGGCGGGGCCCCGGGTCCATCCGTGCGTGCCACGGGACGGGACGGGGCCCCCTGCTGCTGCTGCTGCTGTGGCCCCACTCCTCGCAGGGGCAGCGGCTGCGGCGGCAGCAGCAGCTGCAGCAGGCAGCCCATCAGCTGCAGCCGGCCGGCCGGGCCGGTGCAGTGCGGTGCAGCAGCAGTGAGCCCGCGCGGCTGAGTGCGTTCGGATGTACGCCTGTGGTCGGGACGGGCGCGACGAGACGCGACGCAGCGCCAGGACCCATCTGCGGGGCTGAGGTGATCGCGGTGATCGTCGCTGCCGCCGCCGTCGACCCGACGATTCGCCCTGGAGCCTGTCTGAGCCCAGGCAGGAGGCGGCGCTCCCGCCCGTGCCCGTCCCCGGTGTGCCGGTGGACGCAGAAGGACCTCGGCCGGCTGTCCGTCTGTCCGCCGGTCCGGCCGGCACCCGCCCGCCCCGCCCGGGGCCCCAGGCCGGCCTGGGTGCTGCTGAGCCTGCCTGCCCGGCGCGGCCTGCCCTGCCCCCGCGCTCTGCCCCAACCCAGATGCCCTGCAGTCACCCGTAGTGGCCAGGCAGGCAGCACCAGGCAGCCCAGCCGGCCCGCCTGGCAGTCCGGTACCACTCGCCGCAGCGAGTGTCCGTCCGTCCCGAGGCAGAGGCCGTACCGCCTGAAGGCCCGGCCCGCCCCGGCCCCGCCCCGGCCCCGCC